CGAGTACTTTCTTCGGTTGGCGGGACGGGCTCGCGGGTTAGAGCCTCCAACCGGATGGGCTAGAAGAATGTTCACGGGAAGGAACTCTAGTCTGCCTCTCTTCTTTTCTATCTGTAACCGCAACTCAAGCAAGTTTTCCTGCCTGCACCGCAACCATCTTCGGTGTAAGTAAAATAATCTTAAATCAACCATTAAGCGTCTGTGCCTAATTCTAGCGTGTCGCCTGCTTTCTCCGACCCAGTGTGCCTGGGCTGCTGGCCACAGCTCGCGCGGAGCACAAAAAGGGCCCGGATCGCTCCCAACCCACACACTTTGATGCAGTGCAAACATGTACAAATGCCCATAATGCCCCTGAACTAATGTAAACAGTTTTAGTTTTTGGAGTTGCTAAAAGCTAACATTGCTTAAGTGGAGAACAGAAGATATGACAATCCTCTATCTGGTTCCCATAATTATAGGAACAGTCTTTCTACAGAGCACAACTGGGGAGACCTGAGTGAAGTTAGTCACCAACTACAAAAGTGTCTGATTGTCAGTATTATACCAGCTTTGTAAAATCAACAGAGAGAGCATGGGCAATGCAGGGACACATGTACCAACGCTGATGAATCTGCGAAAAGGAAAATGAATTCCAACTTTCCACCACAAATCCAAGCATCTTGCCAAAAAAAAAAAAAAAAAAAAAAAAACAGCAACAGCTTTGTTACTATTAGAGAGAGGTTACAGGGTAGAATCTAAAGATTAAACATTATATTCCATTAGTCCCATTGCCTTGGTCAATCCCCTCTCCAGAACAATTCCAGGTCAGAAGATTTAGAGAGTATAACTGAATCTGGTCATTTGTATCTCACGGACACAGACACCAAAGGTCCTGGAACATAATGTGTCTATTATCCAGTTTTCTGTCATGATAAAGGAGGTCCAGTACCCTTTAAAAAGTTTATAAGCCATTTTATTGTTAAAAAAATGGTTATATAAACATTTGTAATGGGGTTAAGATGTTAGTAAAACTTGGACTCAGTTAAACTGGCAATATAAGTGTAAAAATTCAGAGAAATGTGCACTTGGTAACAGGTTAGCTGAAAGTAATAAGAACTGGGTTGGTTTGGGTTTGTTGTTTTGGGTTTTGTTTTGTTTTTTTAAGAAATACCTTAAAAATACAGTTTGTCATAGATGCTGGGGCCAAGGCTTAGTTTCCCAATTTAAACTGATAATTACAGCTGATTGCTGGGAAACAGCCAAACATTTACTGATGCAAGCTGGATTTTAGAAAGCATGAGAGGCCTTACAGGAAACTTTAAACAGAACATTCTCAGAAATGCATCTGCATACGTACTGTATTTTCCTATACCCCTCCCATCTCTCTTGCTCCTTATTACCCAAAGGATATTTCATTTCTTAAGAATTCCACTGCTCCCACCACTTAAAATCATGGGCCTCCCTTTGAGAGGTCAAATGTATATAATCTCTTCAATCAAAGACTATAACGTCAGGTAGGGCAACTGAGAGGTGTGCTCTTCCACACAAAAAGATTGTTGTCAATTCCAGTCTCTCATAATTAGCACACACGACAAGAAGTGAAACAGGTAAAAGGCAGTAGCCTTTTAGAATAATTGTTTTTAATTATACATGACGAACGGAAAGCTGAGGAATGACAAAATATGAATAGCTGAAATACAGAGTATTCGTGCTCTAGAAAAGACCCGCACATACGCGCCACACATCAACACCTACTGTTTTCTATTTTCAAGGTTCTCAAAATAATGATCACCTTGTAGAAGAACATTTTCTGGGGTTTAATGACTGCTGGATAAATGGCAGGAGATGAAAGCGGTTATCCCCAGCCCCTAATTTTATCCATGCTAAGTGCTGTGCTCCTCAATTATTACCAGTGCTTTCCAAAAGTTTTCTACAAAATGTCAGTCAAATCAAATGCACCAAAAAGTGACTCCTTCAGTTCAGAGCTGCTCCCAAATATCCCATTATCAGCTCAGTCCTGTCCTTGTCACTTCTATACCACAAAGCCATGCCACAGTGCACCTGAATTTACACACTCACTGTAATACATAAAAGCAAAAAATACTCCCATAATTGTATTCAATCAGAAGCAACAAGATAGAAATCCTAGACTTTGCCTTCTCTAAGGAACATTTAAAATCAGGATAATGAGAAATCCAGAACTCTCTTTAAATAGCCAGCTAAAGTGTACTTGTTTGTTTCTTTCAGATCCATTGTTTCATACTTGCCTGAGCTGATCAAATTCACCAGGCTTTGAATAGATAGAACTGCAAGGACTACAAAAGAACATCAGTTTTCCATAGTGTCCCCCTGACCCCCCACCAAGTGCTTGGTCTTCACAGTCTCATTTTAGAAAGATATACTATCCATCTAAAAGGTGCACTATTAGAGGGCATAACATTGTGCAGTTGGAAGCCAGCTGAGATTTAACAGCCACAGCTGAGGATGTACTGTATCTGGCTTTCCCTTGTCATAATCTGGTTACTGTTAGAAACTCGCTATTTTCTAAAGGAGATTTTAACAAGGTCTGGATCCCTCCAGGGCATCAAAGGATCTCTGTCCTTTGTTTAAACTCCTTGAAAAGGACCCTCCAGGGAATACATTCACCTAGTGGTAAACAGAAGTCTACCCTACAAATGTATCAGTAGAGCAGCTCTTTCTGGCTCAGGATGGCTTATCCATTTGAGGAGGACGCCAACTCAGTCCCAGAGAAACAGATCAAACACGGAGCTACCTGCCTTTAGAAGCAGGGTAGGGGTGAGATTCTTGTCACCTCTCTGGTGGCTACCACATCACTAGGACAGCCATAAAGCAGGAGAACACAACCCACACCCTTTCCTGATGGGCTCATCTGCAGAATCAATGCCTTCCGCAGTTTTGCTTGGAAGAAAATATTTTTTCTACTTTATAACTTAATACATTTCAATTGATCTCAGATTTATAAATATGCCTTTCTGCCTTCTCTCTTCCTCCCCAACCAGAAATGTGGCTTAAGGACAGGAATGGTTTAGCAAGTGATTCATCTTAATTCTTCATCTCTGTTCAAAGCTGCTCCTCATTGCATGCTTAATGCCCTGGGTTCTCCTCCTCACTGCAACACATTTCTTCTTGGAAGTCTGGGGAAGGGAGCAATGAGCACAGCAAGAAATTAAAAGATACTCATGTCCTATCACATTTCTGGATATTCATCCTGCAAAATCAAGAACTACTACCAAGAACTTTCAGAGTGTTCTCAGGCCTCCTGACCTTTTTAGGCAGGCAAGGTTCTTTGAGTAGATGAGATCTCTTTTATTAGACCAACTAAACAGTTGGAAAAAAATGCTTTGCAGGGGTGCATCAATAAAGACTTTTTTAGCCGATACTGATGGCTGATTAATAAGAAGTCAGCCATATCAGCTGATCCTGATCCAATTGCTGATATGCAGCTCAGCTGCTTGGAGAACAGCATCCGGCTGGTAAGTCTGTGGGGGGAAAGGAGGCAAATAGAGGTACCCTTGGTGAGGGAGGGAGTGGGGCTGGGGCTGCCCAGCTGGGATGGGGCACAGGACGGAACCGTTGCAGCTCATCCAGGGAACGGGGGGGGGGGGAGCAGGGGACAGACACAGTGCAGCTCCCACCACTGTGTGTACCCTTGCAGGAGGCATAGGGGAAATATGCTCCACAGATTTGTGCACAGGGTGAGGGCAGGCTGCCCGCTCTGGGCCTGGAGCCAGGGGCTGCACCGGCTTCTTCATGGTGGGAGGGCTGAGCCAGGGCTGTGCTTGGGGCAGGCAGCAGCATTGGGGAGGGGGCCTGCAGGGTGGGCTACAGCCACTCCAAATACAGCCCCCATCCCAGGGCCCCCCCCACTGCTGGGAAGAGGCCAGTGTAACCCCACAGGCTGCAGCTCGCCCTCACCCCGCGCACAAAATCTGGGGGGCACATGCCACCCATTCCACCCTCAGGCATACATACAGCAGCAGGAGCTGTCCCCCTCCCCCCCATCCAGATG